TTGTGATGTAATCCTTTTTTTAGTTGAATATTGATGTAATCCTTTTTTTTTTATGCGATTCTGTCGCAATTTGATCTGTTACAGTTTTACTCTTCTTAAAAGCTTATGTTTGATGAATCAATTTTAGAATAACTCCGCCGACTTTCTGGTCAGAATGTAGCATGCGCGCATTGCAACACAGTCTTTCACGTGGTATGGATTACTGCTTGCGTAATCCGCCGGATAAAGCGTTTGGTGGTGCTCGCTGTGGCAACGGAATCGTGGAAGCTGGCGAGAAATGCGACTGCGGAACGCCGGTATAGACGATTTTTGAAAAGTTTATTCATTTTGTCTGCTGACATTAGTAGAAAGGTATTTTGAAGTAGGAGGAAGAATAGAAGGAAAAATAATATTAAGGAATTAGTAAAAGTATTAAAATTATTATAATTATTATAATAATTATTGTTATTTCTAGTTGGTTTTCTCCGCCATTTCGAAATGAATTTTTGCGGCACTTTACGGCAGAGTTGTTGATGAATCCGTTTGGGAATCGATGGTTTTTTTTAGAGTGCCTGCATCAACAAATGCTGCAATCCGGCAACATGTCAGTTGGCCGAAGGCGCTGTCTGTGCGAGTGGGGAATGTTGTGATCTGAAAACATGTCAAATGTTAGCAGCCACCACTGTTTGTCGACATGCAACTAACGAGTGTGATCTGCCGGAATACTGTGATGGACAAATGGAGCACTGCCCTGCTGATTTTTATGTACAGGATGGCCATAGTTGTCCGGATCATCCTGATGTTAGTGCTTGTGGATTTCCAGTTTAACACGGCCTGGATTCGCGTTTCATCCTCTAATTTGGAAATGAGTTTGCAGCTGGGACACTTTTATTATCGTAAGAAAAATTTTTTATTGGCGATAATTATTTCAGGATTACTGTTACAATGGCTTTTGCGGAAGTCGCGATGCACAATGCCAGTATATCTGGGGGCCAACTGGTAGTAATGCAGCTCCAGCATGTTATGATTTAAATCTTTACGGTAGCAGTGGCGGTAATTGTGGCTTCGTGCATGAGTCGAGTCGTTTTCTTCCTTGCGACAGA